ACTGCGTAATTTTTAACAATTCTAATACTAAATTCAACAATAATTTATTAAGAATATACGTATTTAATAGCTAATAATTTTACTGCGTAATATAATAAAATTTTCCATTTCTCAAATAAAGTAAGGTGCAGAAGGCCTTGAGGCTCGAAATTCAAAACAACACAAACACAATGTTTATGTTCGCCTTAATTATCGCGCCTGTTCGTTCAAGATCACTCCATCCCTTAATACTTTCTCAATTGCTGGACGAGACACATCACAGAGAGTCATTCTCTCTGTTTTTCTTTTTTTGTATTTTTTCTTGTTCAGTATTCATTTTCGTTATTAGAATTAGTGATCAAGAGGGTAAGGCCTCTGCTAGAAATCGAGATCGTAGTAGTTTATATGAAGTAGTTTATATATTGTATCCCAATTTTTAAAATTTAACAACAAAGTATAATGTTTAACGTTTGTTACAGATGCTTCACAGTATCAATTATTTGTATTTTGAGAAGGAAATCCAACGGTGGATCTAAAGCCAAAAATGTAAGAATCTTTCATTATCTCCAATCTTAAGATCTTACTTTGCTTTTAAATATGAATTCTATTGTTTAATGTTTTGTTACAGATCTTCTACAGCCTCCACTTCCCTTAATCCTCCAAGAATTTCATGTTTCAAAAAATGTAAGTATTTTAGCGTGTTGCATTTAAATTTTATTCTCTATACTTCTCTTTCTATTAAAATTGAATATGAAATTATAACTATAAAATAAAAACACTTCAAATTATTAATCTCAATTTTTATCATTATTAAAATTTAAATTTTCACAAATAACACTGGGGTCTTTAGAAACAAAATGTTTTATTTTTTTTTCAAGCAATTTTTCACGGCATTTTTTACTTCCACCATGGAATTCTCAATGATATCTACTTGGTGAGGGTCTTCACGATAACTTTCCCTGCTCTAGTGCAGCATCGTGATAACATTCTTCACATCTATCCCGTGAGTCGCATGCATTTATGTTCCTCCGATCACTCAATCATGTCGTAGGATGAAAGATCCGAATCGGTACTGGTGACTGGTCGTATATGTAGAATTTTTGATGAGCATAATGACCGTGGGTATTTTTTATACCCGTGAGTAGTAACATTTTTTTAGATTTTTTATCTATTAGATCAGATAGATAAAGCTTCTTGCACATCGCGATTTTAACAATTAAAATATATAGTAATTACTTATAAAATCAAAACATCTTCAATAAAAATATTTGCAGAAGTAACATATCCATAGATAAATTATAAATATTTATAAATTATTTTTATTAAAACGATTTCGTTTGAACATTTAATAGTAGAGTTATTGATACTGGTGATATATCTTCTTATGATAATTAATAATTAATAATTGTTATAATAATTAATAATTTCCAACTTCACTTTCGCTTTTACAATAGTATTAAATGATTTAATTATTGAATTTTATAATTATGAACTTCAATATAATTTGAAATATATAATAGATTAGAATTATTATTAGTGTGAATAAGACTAAGTGGATAATTAGTAATTAATAATAATACGATTAATAGAAAGAATGAGAAAACGTGAGAAAAACATGAGTTTTTGTTTTATCAAGATTATCTTTTTCCAATATCTGAAGATATTGATTTATGAGATTATTTGATTTCTTTTATCAAATGTGAATGTATATAACAGATTCTTTTTATTTCAACTTCATAAGAAAATATTTTTCATTAATCATCAAGTAGCACGAAGCTCAAGACATATGAATTTATCATGTTTTTCTCATATATCGCATTGTTTTTCTTCAAACTCCTCTTGCTGTTTGCTTTGTAGAACAACCACAGATAAATAAACAGAGGAACGTTTTGCAAATATATACTGAAAGACGAGTTAATTTTTACGTTTAAGAAAAGGAGGATGAGGATATGATATGTTTGAATAGGTGTTACATATACCTATAATAAGAAACACCTTGTATTTTCTTAAAAATAGGAAGTACCGGATTCAGACAGAAGTTTTTAAGATCTTGAGTAAAATATAATGAGGTAAACTTCATTTTAACTAAACGATTTTATTGGTCAAAGTAATTTCCATTATATTCAACAAACTTCTATAATAGATTGAATAAAATAATTAGGCAACTGTCCAAATCGTAGAGAACAAAGTGTTACATGTCAGATATATTCTACAAACTCATCTGTAATAATAAAATCTTACGTAGCTAAAATATAACAGGGGCATAAAAAACAAATTATCAAAATCGGTATTATTAAATTTATTTAGACAGTTGTGCATGTTTCTCTCCGTTATTAAAATTTTATTTAGACAATTCGAAGTTATGCTAAAAAAGTATTGAAGAAATGTCCGTATAACGTGTTTGAAATTATACAACGAATTTATTATCAAATGAATAAATGCAACGAACGTTATACAAAAAGTAATAGTTGTCATATACAGAGCTTCAATGTAAGCGTGACTGAAATTTCTACAATTAAACGTTTATATAATGTGCACCATATTTTGGAACCGATTGTATTTTTTGTACACTTATATACTTTGTTAATCTATTAATCGTAACAGGTGTTATAAATCAATGCAACGACATGTGTCTCTGCTAAAGCTACCAAGCTATTTTGGAAAACGATACATCACCTCTTGCACTCTTCACTCTTCAGGCATTCATGTCCACTCAAAACATTGTACACTGAAGTCAAATTTATTCGAATTGAAAGCACATATAGGAAAATAAGAGACAACTTCTAG